CACTACAGCCCCCCTCTGCTGTGGAGCACGGGAGTCTCCCCATCCCCGCAGCAGCTCCAGCTTTCAGCTAGAGGCTGTGAGAGTAAAAATCAATGGGCCACTTACTTTGATGAAGACCAGTGAAAACTGTGGGGAAAACAGGGAGAAGCAGAGTTAGAAATACAGGTCAGACGTGCACTGAGCTCATTTACCCTGTTCAGGGGACTTCTGCATCTCTCCTCTGCATTTCCCTCTGCCCCTTGCTCTCTGTTACTCAATGAGAAACTCCAGCGGGGCCTTCTAATGTTTTAGAGCCTGAACTGGTCAGTTTAACACAGCTGTGAAATTAAACACTTCGTTTTGCATTTAGAGGATTCAGGATAAAAAATTCAAAATCACCTAAGTGACTTAGAAGCCTTTTTCAAAAATGATTTAGACACTTTAGGCAGTTGATTTCAATGGGAGTCAGGCACCTATATACCTCTGAGTTTCTGTGGCTCTGGAGCCAAAGAGCCACTGACTTTCAGTGAGACATAATTTAGTAGCTGCCAGAAGACAATACAAAGGTTTATTATATCAGAAAAACCAAGAATATCTTAGATCCTTGTGGAAGGGTTTTGAAGCAGCAGCTAAAGCTAAAAATTCTTCCACATTTTAGAAGATGGCGGCCACGGGTTCTGGTAGATCTACTCTGAATGATGAACCCCATATTAATCATGAAGCTTGGATAGTACATTTTGGCCAGGTCTTTAATGATTCTCCTCAACCAGTTTTTTAATCTAATTCTACCATAGTTGATGCAATGAGGAATCCTCTCTTTGATTTACTACTCTGGCTTTTAGTACAGTACAGTGAAGTACACTCATTATTTTTAGCCCAACAATGGAAAAAAACCTCCAGGAGAAGATTTTCTCTCTGATGAAGTTTCTCAGGATAATCCTAATTGGTGGTCCCCAGACTTGGCTAAATTTTTTACTGTCATTAATCATACCAGATGGATTCCGTCTGGTGAGAAGTTCACTATTATAGTTCCTATTTTTAAAAAAGGGGACAGAAAGAATTCTGCTTCATATAGACCGATTGGTCTGTTAGATGTGGCAGGGAAGATTTAATGCAGATTTTTACTCTCTAAACTTGAAATATGGGCTTTAGAGGCTAATTTACTACGCGAAGAGCAGTCCAGCTTTAGGTCTGGTAGAGCCACAGTGGATAATTATTTTATTTTATCCTATATGATTTATAAATATACTGTGGTTAATGGTAGTAGTTTATATGCTGCTTTCATAGCTCTAAAGATGGCATTTGATTTTATTAACCAAGAAAAACTCTGGGCAAAATTATGAAGGATGAAAATCGATCTAAGACTTTTGCATATTTTGGGGCCTCTCCACCAGTGCAATATGGTGAGGTTAAAAACTAAAGCCAATGGAGAACGTACTGTTTTCCCTATTTCTAGGGGAGTATGGCAGGTTTGCTTTCCAGTGCCTCTTCTTTTTAATGTATATATTAATGAAGCAGTGATGTTGTAAAGGAAGATCATTTCTCTCCCCTGCAAATTAAGAGTAGATCCATTCCAGTGTTGTTATATGCTGATGGCACGGTTGTTTTATCGCAGCATCCAAGATGCCTCCGATAGTTATTATCTTGTTTTTTCTCTTATTATAACTCTCAAGGCTTAGTTCTCAATTATAAGCCCAAAGTCACGATTTTTGGGCAGAACAAACGAATCTTTGCTTTAGGCAGAACAAACGAATCTTTGCTTTTACTTATTTAAGGATAAAGTTTCATCATTTAGGCCACTGGTTTCCTTATCATGAAGACTTAAAACAAAAGGCCCTTAGCTCTGGCCAAGGGGTGCTCTGTTTTACCTGCCCATATGTTGGGAACAGAACTGCCCCAGTACTAATAATCTTTAATGCAAAAATAATGTCATAGATGATCTATGAGGCTGAAGTTTGATTTAGGGGCCAAATTTCAGCCTTAGAGATCATTCAAAATAGTTTTGTGAGGAGACATGATTCTCCCAAATTCTACCCCTCCTTTGTTTTTACGTGCTGAGGTGGATGGTTTTACTATAAGTTATAGAGCTTGTATTACTTTTCTTAAATTTTGGTCTAAGATCTGTAAAAAGCAACAGAGAGTCCTGTGGCACCTTTAAGACTAACAGATGTATTGGAGCATAAGCTTTCATGGGTGAATACCCACTTCATCATGCGTCTGACGAAGTGGGTATTCACCCACGAAAGCTTATGCTACAATACATCTGTTAGTCTTAAAGGTATCACAGGACTCTCTGTTGCTTTTTACAGATCCAGACTAACACGGCTACCCCTCTGATACTTGGTCTAAGATCTGTACTCTTCCAGATTACAGATTGCCCCATTTTTGCCTTCAGGAGATGGAGGAACAACCTGTGCACTCCATATTGCCATGATATAAGACCTTCCAATTTATTATAAATAGGCTGGATTTTTCTATTACTTATTGTCGATATCTTTTAATCAGTGTAATCAACTACTTAAACAAAGATTGACAAATATTACCCAACAAGAAGATCTGGCTGTGATTCATGGTTCAAAGTTTGTCTTTTGGTTTTCTACTTTGAAGATGGCTCATGTTTTTGAACAGTATTTAACTGAATTATGAAATCCTCATTTATGTAAGGGATATACTCAATTAAGATTCCAAACCATGGAAATTGCTGTCCTTACAGGTAGATATGGAAAAGTTCCTTCACATCTTCATTTTTGCCTGTGTAACTCTGGAGCAATGGAAGATCTACCTCATTATCTTTTGGACTGTAGATTTTTCCAGCTTCTGAGAACATACTGGATTTTACCTCTTTTATATAAAAAGAATTTTTATCACCATCTCAAAAGGATAATGTTTTTAGTTTTTTCTCATTCTCTGGTAGTAATCAAATCACTGGCAATTTTTGCCCTTCCAGCATTTGGCCAATGAGGAGCATTTTTATTAGGTTCTAATTGACCTTTTAAGGTTGTATATGTTTTATATGATGTTGCTGTTGTAGACTGTTGTATGTTTTTCTTTTTGTATTTGCAAAAGACTTATGTTTAAATTAAATGTGGTTTAATAAAATTGCCAAAAAGTTTTGACATTAGACAGTTTTACATTATAATAAAGCATGATTCCTATTCTGCCATAAAGGGACATAGTCTGTCCTATGTACACGCTGTCAATGAAGTTGAATGGGGTGTAAATCATGGCAGAATTTGACCCTTATAAAGAAGATGTGGGGAGTCAGAAGGCATCACTTGCTTCACACAGTCACTTTTACGGCTCTAGACGGATGTTAATAAAAATAAGTTCCTTAGGAATCACAAAGGACTTTAAAGGGTCATCATCAGCGCTCACCAAGTCAGCCATGGAAACTAATCAGCGAACTGACCTACCTTCTCATTCAGGGGACGGAAGTCTTCGTCCAGAGAGACGATCCGAAACAGAACTGCAGAGGGCATGATAGAGAGAGGAAGAGATTTTCACTGTTACACCTGCAGCCGCTCACCCAGGGACCATCAGTCATTGAGGCAGCTGCTGTGTGCATGCCTGGCCCAGATGCAATGACCCATGGACACATGCAGAGTTGGATGCATGCACCACACTCCCCAGGTTTATGACTGGTGGGGAGGAGGTGGGAAGGCAGGTTTACTGCCAGCTGTACTAACTTGGTGACAAGTTGTGGGGTCTCTGGGGAGGCAGGGAGGATTTCCTGCTCTGTATCTAATTCCCCACCTGATTCCCTGTACCTGTTTGTCCGGGTTTGTAGATGGGTTTGTCCGTCTGGACAAAGACCAGGCTCTCTGAGTTCTTGACCAGCACCGATTTCCGGCTCCTGAACTCCAGCGTCGGCCCCTTCACCAGCACCGTGAGAAACGCTGCTGATGAGCTGCTGGACTTTGGAACCTGGAGAACAGCAAAAGAGCCGCTGCCTTAGAGACGCTCCCCTCTGCACTGAGCCTTTGGAGGCTGGAGTTGTACGTGGAAACCAAGCAAAAAGGTCACCACGTACCTACCAGAATCAGGGATTGTGGGGTCTGGGGCTCTGCCAGTCTGACCTCACCCTAGTTTTGCAGGACTCTTCTCCTCTATCCCCACTAATGTCTCCTCTATGCTGCCAGAATCTTTGCAGTGATGGGGCCTCCACCACCTCCTCCAAAGGAGACTCTGCCTGCCACCCCCGGCCATCCCCTCCCTACCAGGAGTCTCTGACTCCTCCACCCCAGCAGCTCATATCTTAAGAACTTCCCCCAGTATCTTAGTCTCAGCTTTTCCTTCTGTGCTGCCTCTTGCCAAGACTGGGGGTCATTTCCCTTCCCTCGTTATGCTCCTTCCTCAAAGGGATTGATGGACTGTGATCGTGTCTCCCCAGCTGTGGATCCCAGTGATGGAGGAAAATGGGAAGCTACATTTGATTAATTACTTCTGGGCTGGGTCCATTTTCTTCTACTGTCCCCCCAGCCAGCCTTGAGAGCGCAGGGAGAAATCCTGAACTGGGCCCCGGGAGATGCACAAGATGAGCTCATGGACGTTGTGATAAATAAAGGGAGGATAGCTCCCTTTGATGGACACCCAGCCCACCAGTTAGCTGTAAAATCCCTCTTGGTGTGTTCTCTGCTTGCTTTACCTGTAAAGGGTTAACAAGCCCACAGGTAAAAGAAAAAAAGTGGGCACCTGACCAAAAGAGCCAATGGGAAGGCTAGAACTTTTTAAAATGGGAAAAGAAACTTTCCCTTTGGTTGTGGTTGCTCTCTTTGGTCTGCAGGAACACAGAGCAGCAATGCTATAAGCAGAAATGCTGTGTAAGGTTTGAACCAGGTATGAAAAATTATTTTCCATACCTAGCAGGACTCACTGGGATAGGGAATGTTTAGGTAGACATGATCAGGTTATTTCTTTATTTTGGCTTGTGGCTCTCCTCTGTGCTAACCTCAAATGCTTTTGTTTGCTTGTAACCTTTAAACTGAACCCCCAAGAAGCTATTTTGGGTGCATACTTTTGGGAATTGCTCTTTTAAAATCTAGCAAAAGCCTAAGTTCCAGATATATTTTCTTTTTGATTTTAATAAAATTTTCCTTTTTTAAGAACAGGATTGGATTTTTGGTGCCCTAAGATGTTTGTGCATATGCTGTTTGATTAGCTGGGGGCAACAGCTAATTTCCTTTGTTTTCTTTCTCAGTGCTTCCCCGGAGGGGGGTGAAAGGGCTTGAGGGTACCCCACAGGGAGGAATTCCCAAGTGCGCCTACCTGGGTCCAAGTGTTTTTTTTTTTTTTTTTTCTTTTGGGTGGTGGCAGCGTTTACCAAACCAAGGTATCAGAGAAAAGCTGTAACCTTGGGAGTTTAATACAAACCCGGAGTGGCCAGTATTAATTTTTAGAATCCTCGCGGGCCCCCACCTTCTGCACTCGGAGTGACAGAGTGGGGATTCAGCCTTGACAGATGTCAATGGTCTCGAGGAAGTTTTCTAACCTCCTCCTTCCATGGCTTTCTTGTCGGTCTCACTCAGAGGCTTGTGGAGCCCCCTGAGAAATGGGAGACCAGTCCGCAGCTGTAAGGTCAGCACTGACTCAGAGAGAAAAGCACCCAACAAAGCCAGCCACACCACAGCCTGTACCACAGTCTCTCCCAGCATCATGCCGGGCACTGACCTCAGTACTTATTAAAGATCATTCCTAATGAATCATCCACAGCACTGCCAGTAGGAACTGTTGTTTTCCTTGAATGTCTCCTACCTGAGCCTGGCTCTGTTTGTGATTTCTGATGGTATCAGGCCTTTCAGGGGTTGGTCCCAGGCTGTCACTATCTTATAGACTCAGGTAATAAACCCTGTGGGGGACAGATACTCACCGTGAACGGGACGCACTTGAACACGTCCTTCTCCGACACCACGTCTGCGATCAGGCTCCTGTTCTCCCCTGCATATTCCAGCGTGGCGCTCAGCGTCACAGACTCGTTCAGGTGGGTCAGCTGGATACAGACCTTTTCAGGACCGTTGGTGTGGATCAGAAAGGGCACTAGCACCATGTACTGCCTGGGAAGGGGAAGGGCACAGGTCAGAGAGGCGGGGATGGGGAATGGAGAAGGTATTGATGAAAGGGCATGGGCTAGTGTGACAGCCGAATCCCCGACCATCCATCCGCACTGTAATTTGTACATACAGGAAGGTGAATTTCATTTTGCTTTTGTAACATACTAGCCAGTCTGCTCAGTCAGCCAGGAACCTAGGACACCACCTGGAGCGAAGGAACTAGTTCTGTGCTAACAGCGATTGCTGTCCAAGGGCTGTTTGTTCAGACTCCCAGCAGGGAGTGGGGATGGCTTGAAAAGTTCCAGGCTGTTAATTGAGGTTTGTGTATCCCACAGCCCCTTGCTGTATTATGTGAACAGGGGGGAGGGAGCTCAGATGAAATGCTTGTTGTACCTCCATGGAGACTGGCAGGCAGTTACACAGGAGTGTGGATCAGGGCTTTAATCTAATCTCCTCTCTAGCTGTCTGTCGATCTAGGTGTGTCACCTGCTGCCCTCAGTAATGGAGAGATACAAATGTACGGATGGCTGTGTGTGCGCTGACATCTTACTGTAGGGAATGGCCATTGTGCTAAAGGGGCAGCGTGGCCTAGTGGACAGGTCTTTAGCTGGAGAATTCCTTGCTATGCCTGGGTGTGTCAGTGACATGCTGTGTGCTACTGGGCGTCACTGCTTTGTGCCTCAGTTTCCCCATTTCTGATATTGGGATCCTGAAGATGCTGCTTACACCCCCCCCTTTAATGTGCCTGGAGATCTTTGGATGAAAAGTGCTCGCTTACAGGTTCAAATGTTAGTGAGGACTTTACCCAACTTGCCGGCAATGACAACAACAGAGTGATTTGGGCTACAGAAGGAGATCTCACCAGCCATGGCTGCAGCCTGCTGACTCAGAGCAGAGACGCTGGCAGAGCCTCACTGCTGGGAGGCTGGACGTGCCGCAGTGTGAAGCTCCCTGGGACACCCAGCTTTCTGCCGGGGGGCTGTTCATCTTGCTTAGCCAAGATTTCAAAATGACAGAGTTAGGTAGGAGTAGCCTTAACCTGGCTCTGATTAAATTCCACTTCGCCCTTTGTTAGGCCTGAGCCAAAGCCCATGGAAGTCAATAGGACTCTTTCCATTCCCCTCAGTGGGCTTTGGATCAAGCCCTGAGTGATTTTCTCTCTACCTTCAATCTCTGCCAATAAAGGCTGGGGGCTGATTCTCCCCTGCCTGGCACCTGGTGCAGAATGAGTGCACAGGGAGTCTGAAGAGCGCGGTTCTGCTCTGGTAGCATTTGACACCTACTCTGCCCTGCTGTAAATGGCGATATGAAGAGCGAGGCCATGGAAAGCCAGGGCCTACATTTAGCGCTGCCAAGTGTCCTGCCTCATGTGTGACATTCACCCATTCGCAGCCCTGTCACATGTCCCTGCAGCTCAGCTGGATTCTCACACATCAGAACAGAAAAGGCCGCACACTGCCAAAACCTGACACTGCTCCAGTGCTTAATTTGTGCCAGGGTTTGCCAGGGCTGAGCCCCGGCACCTCTAGGCTTGGCAGTTCATTGCCCTGGCACCTCTGGGCTTGTAAAAAAATTGCTTGAGCCCAGGCATCTAATTGCTTGAGCCCCAGCATCTCTTTCATTACAAATGAAGCACTGCGCTGCACACACTTCTCCCTCTGGGGTGAGGATGACAGAAGGAACAACACGTGACAGTCGTGTTGCTTAATACTCTAGTGGCAGGCTCGCTGGTACTACAGTGATTAGCACAGTATGAGAGCCTCAGTGAATAGCTGAACCGTAAGCAGGCAGCAGGCAGTTTCCTGCAGTTGCCCCTTGGCTGCTAGAGGCAGCTGTGGCATTTGCTGAGCCGACAGCCAGGTGCCTCCTCTCTCCCTGCTGGATCACAGCAAGCAGCCTGGAGGTGATGACAGAATGTGAGAGACCTGATACTGGTCCCAGGCTCCCCCCTGGTACAGACCCCTAGCCGCTGTGACCCGAACAGCTCAAAGCATCCCAGGAGTTCCAGCCTTACCACTCAGTAACAATAACCCCAGCAGCTCCGCATCTGACCCTCCTGGGCACCTGCTACCCCAGCCAAAGCTGCCAGGTTTTGTTCAGCTTCCCGGTGAACACCACCCCTTCCCTCTTCCTCTCCTCCCAACCAGCTTGGGGCAGAATATGTCAACTGTAAACTAAGCATATACACAAAATAGTCACTAATATGCCGATTACTTCATTAAACAGCATAAAATGCCTCATGGAGCAGAATAAAACTTGTGACTGGCATCACATTCTGTTCTTCCCTTGCCCTCTCAGCCTGCATGAACTTTAGTTTAGACCGAGAGAACAAGACTGCACACAAGGCAGGTCTCGGTAAGACAGATGGAGAAAAGAGTGGGGCCTCTCCTGTGCAGCAGGATGCAACTGAACACAAAACTGCAAGTGCTTCTGCAGCACAGAGGGGGTCTTCTCTCCATTTAAAGGTGCAGGATGTAGACAACATGTCTGACCAGACACAAGCTACATGCTCAGAATGGAATACAGCTGGGTGAAAAAAATCTGATGAAACTGTTTTCTGTCGGACAGTGTAGTTTAGTCAAAATGGAACCGGTTTGTGGGAACATGTTGAGTTTGACCAAGGGCCCAATTGAAAAATGATAAAACAAATGGTTTCAACTTTCTCATTTCAATAACATCAAAATGTTTCATTTTCCCTTTAATATTATGTTGTAGTATAATATTTCTATACATTTACATTATGATAATATTGAATAATTATAACAAAATGTTGTGACATTATCAAAATGAAACATTTCCATGTTTCTGAATCAAAATTTTCTGCAATTTCCTTCCTCTCAACATTTAAACTGCACATTCCGATTTGGAATTAAAACAAATTTTAAAATGTCAGGCTTTCCGGTGGCATGGCAATTCCGGTTTCCAGCCAGCCATAGATTGTCTCCCTGTTCTGTATTTGTATAAAGCCTAGCACAGTGGGGGCCCTGATCCATAACTGGGGTGCATAGGCACTGCTGCAACACAAACAAACAATTCTAACAAGGCATTCATTGGGTTAAGAGATCTGACATTGGAGTTATGGGACTAGATCCCTCCCCCACTGAATCAGGGCAGTGTAAATTGCACCTGCTCATGTACACCAGTGAGGAGGAGTGCTGCACCCAGGACAGGGGAGTGTGCACTGGAGGGTAAACGCTCTAATCTATGCTGGGCTCCAGGGGAACTCTCTGCCAGTCGACACTGCCAAAGGGATACCCTGAGTCCGTCCAGCTCCTGGCTGAGCTTGGCCACGCGCCCTCTTCAGGCCCCTCAATGGAGGCGAGGTTCCAGCCAAGTTGCTAGTTTGCAGTGCCCCAGGTGGATATTCCAGCAGAGTGTGCCACTGCCAGGGTCTGTGCTGACAGTCAGGAATCTAGGTCACAGACTCTCTTTGGGAACAAGCACAGTCTGTGGCTGCCAAGGGAAGCAAACTGGCTTTAGAGAAGAAGAGAAAAGAGAAACACTTTTCTGAGCTCTCCCTCACAGGCAAGGAAACTGGGGCCCATCCACGAAAGGTACCACAAGGCAGATGGCATATTGCCCATGAAACCACAGGGAGAGCCAAACTCCTGAAGATGTCTAGGTAAGGATACAGCTAGAGAGAGCTGTGTGGGGAGCCCCAGAGTGGAATAGCAGGTCAGGCTGCAGGGCAGGACTGAGGGGCATTGGCAGAGCTGTGTGGGGAGCCCAGGACTGGAATAGCAGGGGGTGGCTAGGCCGGACTGAGTAGCATTGGCAGAGCTGTGAGGGGGATGAAGGAAAGAAATGAGAAGACAGCATGAGCCCGTGCATGTGCAGCTTACGGTTCGGTGGTGGGCGAGCTGTCTCCAGGGAGGAGGAAGAGGAGCAGGAGGAAGATGCTCGGGCCACCAGGCAGCCTGTCCTTCCCCATGGTGCAGAGCGAGGGTGGTGAGTGAGGCAGACACACAGACTTGTCCGCTGGCTCCCTGCACCCTGGCTGTCCGCTGGGTCTGCCCCTTTATACCTCTCTCTGCAAACAGCCCACGGGAGGGGCGAGATAAGGGCAGGGGGCCAGGACCATCTGGGAAATGGAGAGAGGTACGTGAGGAGGAGCCAGAGCCAATAGCTCTGACTCATGGCACAGAGACTGTCCCTGGCCAGACCCTGACAAACTGGGGGAAGATATTTATTGGAGGTGTTCATGTGAGACACTCTCCTGTGTCTGAACCATTCACCCCCAAACCCGTTTGTATCACTTCAGCAGCACTCTGCGGTGGTTGGAGAAGCCCTTTAGCTCATTACAGGGCCAGTCCAGCATTCTGTGGGGATTGGAACAAACTCCCAAATCCTGCCCAGCGTTTCCAGAGAAACCTTTCCTGTTCCTATGCTGTATTCCTCTGGTATGATAGCCAGCTACTTCCAATAATATCCCTCCGGTACAGCTCACAGGGGATGCCAGTGAGACCATTTTGTGTACCATTGCCCCTGGCTGCATGGCGAGTGTCAGAGCTGGCCATGGTTATAAAAGTGCCCTTTGCTGGCTGCAGGAGTGGAGCTGCCCCTGTAGGGGTGTGTTTGTGCCACTGCCCTTGTTAGGAGTGCGTAGAGCACACTTGCTCATGTCCACAGAGCTAGCTCTGGGCATATCAGTGCCCTCAGTTGTTCGAGGGAGCAGGAAGCTGGTGCTAGTCATGAATGGTCTCTTTGGAGCACAGTAAGATTGGCACACTGGGGCTCTAAACAGAGGAGGGAAAATCTTGTGAGAGAAAGTTGGGAGAGTGGGTTCATTTCTCAGCCCTGCCACCAATTCACTGTGTGACCTTGGGCATGTTCACGCCCCTCTCTGTGCCTCAGTTTACCCACCAGTAAAATGGAGGTAATGATCCTGACCCACCTGGCAGAGGTGTGTTGGGCTCAACTGACTAATGATTGTCAAGTGGTTTAGGATCTTCTGATGGGAAGTGCTATAGAAAGGCAAAGGAAGAAGCCCTTTGGCGAGCGGATGGGAAAACAGAAGTAGACATTCTGAAGATTAATCCCTTACCCCATTAGGGAATTAAGACCATTCAGGAAGTGTGGGCAGCCCCTGCCCTGCTTCCACGAAACAGAGATCTGAAATACAGGGGAAACTTAGTCAGGGGAAGGATGGATCCTATTCAGCTCCCCAGTAGACCTGGGAGAATGAGTAATTTTTCAGTTCCTGACAACCAAAAGTTTTCTAAAGATTTACTGAAGCGAAAGGTTGAAAAAAATTGTTTTGGCTCAAAAGAAAAATTTCATTCACCCTGAAAGAAAACATTTCATTTTTATGTTGAGTCTTTTTTTTATGTTTTTGAGTATTTTAAAAATAAATTAAAGGAAATTTTGAAAAAAAAAAAAAAAAAAAACTCCAAACCCCTATAACATTTTATTGGAAAATTTCAAAACAAAACATTTTCTTTTTCTGGAATTTGGTTTAAGGTTTTTCCCCCCAAAAAAACTAAAATAATTTGCAAAACGTTTTGCTGCTGCCCAAGCTGCATTTTTGCTGCCAAAATAAGAGACTTTTGTACAAAAAATGTCACTCAGCTGTAATCTCAAACCCACACAGGCCCAGCTCTAGTCACTTCCAGTACAAACAGTTGGAAAAGACAAACATGTGGTGAGGTTATGCAATTGGCTGTGGGTGATAACCCAGCCTTCACCCCACTGTGGGTCCAGGAGTGGGAAGTGAAAACATGTGAAGAGTTAGTATAGTACTTTAAAAGTCCTTGGACCACGGACTCAGAGGGTCCTGTCAATGAACAGGACAGTGAGTTAATCTCCCCTGCACAGTCCCCTTCATACTGTCCCTCCCTTTATGCTCAAAGGAAATTTTTCATGCCCCAGCTGTCAGTTCATAATGTCTGAGAAATCGGGGCTCAAGAAGGCTCTGTGAAATAATGGTCTTAAGAGAGGTCCAGAGGGGGCTGCAGGGAAGGATGAAAGGTGTTGCCAGAGCTGTGGGGGGAGTCCAGGAATGCATGTGGCACTGGTGCAACCACTGCTGGAATAATGTGCCCTGTTCTGGTGTCTATAATGCAAGCAGGGTGCTGATAAACTGGAGAGGGTTCAGAGAAGAGCCACTTAGTGATAAGATAAATAGATTGAACTCCTTGAGTCTAACAAAGAGAAGGTTAAGGGGTGACTTGAACCCAATATAAGTTTGTACATTTGATAATGGGTTCTTAACAAGATCCAATGGCTAGAAGTTGAAACTAGACATGGGGTTCTCAAACTTCATTGTACCACGACCCCCTTCTGACAACAAAATTACTACATGACCCCAGTAGGGGGGACCGAAGCCTGAGCCCGCCTGGGCCCTGCCTCCAGGCGGGGAGGCCAAAGCCGAAGCCCAAGGCTAGGGTTGCCAGGTGTCTGGTTTTCAACTGGAATGCCCAGTCGAAAAGTGACCCTAGTGGCTCCGGTCAGCACTGCTGATAGGGCCATTAAAAGTCTGGTCGGTGGCGCAGTAGGGCTAAGGCAGGCTCCCTGCCTGCCATGGCTACATGCGGCTCCCGGAAGCAGCAGCATGTCCCCCCTCCGGCTCCTATGTGTAGGGGCAGCCAGAGGGCTCCACACACTGTTCCTGCCACAAGCGCCGGTTCTGCAGCTCCCATTGGCCATGAACCATGGTTAATGGGAGCTGCAGGGTGGTGCCTATGGACTGGGAAGCGCACAGAGCCGCCTGGCTGCGCCTCCACATTGGAGCTGGAGGAGGGACATGCCGCCGCTTTTGGGAACTACCTGAGGTAAGTGCCACCGGAGCCTGTATCCCGTGCCCCAACCCCCTGCCCAAGCCCTGATCCCCCTCCAAACTTCTCGATCCCAGCCCGGAGCCCCCTCCTACACCCCAAAACCCTCATCCCCATCCCCAACCCAGAACCCACACCCCCAGCCAGAGCTCCCGACCCCCACACTCCAACCCCCTGCCCTAGCCCTGATCCCCATCCTACCCTCTGAACTCCTCAATCCCAGCCCGGAGCCCCCTCCTGCACCCCAAACCCCTCATTCTCGGCCCCACATTAGAGCCAGCACCCCCAGCTGGAGCCCGAACCCCCCTGCACCCAACCCCCCTGCCCCAGCCTGGAGCTGCCTCACATACTTCGAACCCCTCGGCTCTATCCCCAGCCTGGAGCCTCAGAGAAGAGCCATGGCAGGGGTGGGACCTCAGAGGAGGGATGGGGCAGGGGGCAGGGTGTTTGGTTTTGTGTGAAGTAGAAAGTTGCCAACCCTACCCAGGGCTGAAGCTGAAGCCCGAGCCCCACTACCCAGGGCTGAAGTCCTTGGGCTTTGGCCCGGGCAGTGGGGCTTGGGGTTCGGCTTCAGCCCCAGCCCCAGCAAGCCTAAAGCCAGCCCTGGTGACCCCATTAACACAGGGTCCCGACCCACAGTTTGAGAAGCGCTGAGCTAGACAAATTTAGACTGGAAATAAGGTCTACATTTTAACAGTGAGGGTAATTAATGACTAAAACAATTTACCAGGGGTCACAGTGGATTCTCCATCAGGAGCAATTTTTAAATCAAGATTGGATTTTTTAAAAGACATGCACTAGTTCAAAAAGAGTTGTCTATGGCCTGGGTTAGACATGAAGTCAGAGCAGATGATCACAATTGTCCCTTCTGGCCTCAGAATCTATGAATAGTGGGCTGCAGGGCAGGACTGAGGGGCATTGGCAGAGCTGTGTGGGGAGCCCAGGACTGGAATAGCAGGGGGGCTGCAGGGCAGGACTGAGGGGCATTGGCAGAGCTGTGTGGGGAGCCCAGGACTGGAATAGCAGGGGGCTGCAGGCAGGAGTGGCGCTAGGGTTTTTGCCACCCTAGGTGGCAGCGCTCCTCCTCTGAGCATTCGGCGGCGGGGGTCCTTCCGCTCCGCATCTTCGGGGCACTTTGGCGGCAGGTCCCAGAGCGAGTGAAGGACCCGCCGCCGAATTTCCGCTGAAGACCCGGAGCGGAAGGACCCCCTCGCCGCCGAATTTCCGCCGAGGACGGCAAAATGCTGCCCCCCAAATCCTGCTGCTCTAGGCGACCGCCTAGGGTTGCCTAGTGGAAGCACCGGCACTGGCTGCAGGGCAGGACTAAGGGGCATTGTCAGAGCTGGGTGGGGAGCCCAGGACTGGGATAGCAGGGGGCTGCAGGGCAGGACTGAGGGGCATCATCTGAGCTATGCGGGGAGCCCAGGGCTTGAATAGAAGGGGGACTGCAGGGCAGGATTGAGGTATGTCTCTGGATAAAGCTTGTGGGACCCCTTTCCCACACCATGGTGGTGCTTTTAGGGTCTCATTGACAAGCCTGAACCTTCATGTGTGGGGGGGAATGAACCTGTGTCCTGGCTGGCATTAAGCATAGACCACTAGTGGAAGTGGCTGAAAAACAGTCTCCCTTTCTTGTGAAAAAATTAAAATTGTTTTGAACAGAACAAAACAAAACTCTTTTGTCCTGAGCAAAGACATAAGGTCAAAAATTTGAAATTTTTCACAAGGAGGAAAGCCTGAAAACATTCCCTTTGGGGAGAACCAAGCCAGAATTTAACTACTTGCTCCAGGGGCTGCCTGACTCCCTAGTGATTTGGCCTCCTGGGTTGGCTGACTCTGGGCCAAGGGATGCCCTCAGAGCTGTCTGAAGATCCCTGGGAGCAGAGGCTCCAGCCAACCCTCCAGGTGAGGAGCCACGGGAGGCAGGCGATGAGCTAGCAGAAAAAGCAGGCAAGTTTCCGTTGAATGTTTCATCAAGATCTACACAGTTCCAGGGAACATTTTGGTTTTGATGAATCATCATTTTCCGATGGAAGAACTTTCCATTGGCGATTTCCAACACCTTGTATTTGCTGAGCACATTGACAGAGTGGGAGTTTAGGAGAAGACAGGAAGCAGTGAGCAGATAACAGAGGATTTGGAAAGTGGGACAGAACAGAATTTGCTGGTTCATCACTTAATGACTTGGCTTCGTTACAACAAGGGCCACAGGGAGCACAGTGGATTTGAACCAAATGACAG